AAAGGAGCAAAGCTTATAAACAGCTCACAGAAAATAAATATAATTGGTCCTTAAATATATGAAGGGATGCCCAATATCTTTCAAAAAAATTTCTGTAAATTTAAACTAAAATACCATTTTCACCGACCAGTTTAGCAAAACTCCCAAATGTTTGACAACACATTGTGCTGGAGAAGCTTTGGAAAAATATCTACTCTACTAGATTACTGGTAAAAGTTCAAATTTATAAATTTCCTCCAGAGGGCAATTTGGCAGTATTGAAATACAAAAGCATTCATGTTTTAACTCAGCTATCTCACTTCTGAGAAATTATATTAATCCATATAATTTGACATTTTATATAAGGTTATTCATTACAGCATTAGTTGTGGTATCAAAAGGTTGACAATGGACACTAATAGGAAAAAATCCATTAAACAAATTATTTCATCCATGCAATGGAATACTACACAGTGGTAAAAGGAATTAAAGAGTACTTCTGTACTGATATGGAAAGAACTCGAGTTTTACATTAAGAGAAGCAAATTACAAAACAGTCTGTTCTGTAGAGTGTCACAGAAATAAGTGAGTAGGAATACATTATTATTATTTATATGTCTTTATATTTTTTACATATTTATATTCAAATATATATGCACTCAAGGATGTTTAAATTCTTATTGTTTTTTAAATGATTGGAGACTATAAATCTGGTTTTGTTTTTTCGTTTTGGTTTTGGTTTGCTTTGTTTTAAAGCTCCAAGATGATTCTGCAGTAGCAGGTGCACAGAAAACCACTGATTTACTATGCCTTCAATTTGTGTAAATTCAAAGACACTTGAAAGAAGCATAAATCTTTGTTAGAGGATCAAAATTTCATAGCTAGATAGAGATACAGACTCATATAAAGATAAATACACATAATTAACATAAATAACTAGATTATCTATATTTTCTTCTTTCCTACCATAGATCTGTCACATGGTAGAATACAACTGTGGTTGTAGTCTATGAACTATACCATATTTAATCTTTATGTAGACACCCTATGTCATAACATATACTATTAACAATATAAAGGTTCATAAGATAACTCCATTGCAGATTTCTCCTTCTATAAGCAGAAAACAGGCCTCTTTGTCTCAGTAATTGTGGCAGGGGGGAGGGGAATTTGACCTTGAATTCTATGTTCCCATATTATTATTGCTAACCCTGCTTTCTTTTTATATTTGATACAACTTTTTCTTTTTTTTTAAGGTTTATTTATTTTTTTATTTATACAAGAGCTGGGGTACAGGCCAGAGGCGCGGGAGGGTGAGAGGATTCACCAGAGACAGAGTGGGGAACAGAACAGGCAGATTGACCAGAGTACACTGCTGAGGGGAGCAGGGGACGCAACAGGAGAGGTCTGCTGCACCATGTGGTTATCTCCCTGGCCGGCCGGAAATCAAACCCACGCCACAGAGGCTGCAGACAGCTTCACAGCACTGCACTCAACCCGTTGCGCCACTGGGGAGGTCCCTGATACAACTTTTTCTAATTACTTTTTTTTTAAATATTTTGAGTTACTTTCTCTAACAAAATACAGATACAAAGATAGGAGAGGAGGAAAGAAAGGGTAGGAAGACAGATAGATAGGCAGCTAGCTGGATAGATAGATAGATAGATAGATAGATAGATAGATAGATAGATAGATAGATAGATAGATAGATAAAATAGACAGGGATTTTTTCAGAGGGATGACCCAAACTGAGAACCTTTACTGTTTAATAATGAAATTTAACTCATTTATACTATCATAATCTATGAACTCTTACCCTCTGCTATCATATTTATTATTCCTTTATTTTCTGTTTTATTTCTATACGTGTATATTTTCTTGTATTTCTTTAGTATTTGAAACATTTCCATTCTACCAGTGATATTATATTCATGGAATGCCAAAGTTTTATCAAAATATGTCCAGCTATTATTTTCCCATCACAGATTTTTATCTGCCAATGGATAAGTTATTTTGATCTGTAGTATAAATCTTCAATCAGCTTAAGAACAGTTAAGAACATCTATTATCTACTGTACTTCAAAGTTATTATAATTTTGCTCATCATTTTAGAGTTGTGTTTTCTTTCAAATTATGTAAGAGCCTCCTAAGCTTATTCTCAATTTACTAACTATGCTTTCTAAATCTTTGTTGCTTCTACTACCATCTAAAATTCTTTTGAGTAATTTTTAATTTTCTTATATTATTCCCTTAACTTAGCCAACATTTTCATCTCTTGTCTTTTCTTTCCTAGAGTTTATTTTTTCTAGAAGCTTGTTGAAAATACAAAATAAATAAATATCTAAATTTACTTGAGGGCCTCCCCAGTGGCGGGTTGAGCACAGTGCTGTGAAGCTGTCTGCAGCCTTTGCAGCGTAGGTTCGATCCCTGGCCGGCCAGGGCAATTCCCACACGACGCAACAGACCTCTTCTGTTGCGCCTGCTGCTCTCCTTAGCAGTGTATTTTGGTCGTCTGCATGTTCTGCTCCCCGCTCTGTCTCTGGTGAATCCTCCCCACCCAGCCCCCCGCCCTACCACACACCTCTGGCCTGTACCCAGGCTCTTGTATAAAAATAAATAAATCTTTAAAAAAAAAAAAAAAACTAAACTAAATTTTACTTGACTACTTACAGTAAATCCTTTTCAAAACTTAGTTATTTCCCTACCTTCTAAATGCTTGATTATACTTTTTAAGGTATAGAATCTTTTCTTTCAGAGAACTGTGAGAGATTTTTTCCCTCTTCTTTATATCCAAGCACATACAAATACCAAAAAAAAAAAAAAAAAAAAGGAGAGGAAGAAGAAGAAATCTAGGGCCTCCCCAGAGGTGCAGCAGTTGAGCGCTGTGCTGCGAAGCTGTCCGCAGCCTGTGCAGCACCGATTCGATCCCTGGCCACTGGTGAGGATCCCACATGGCACACAGACCTCTCCTGCCATGCCCACTGCTCCCCTCAGCAGTATACTTTGGTCCTTCTGCCTGTTCTGCTCCCTTCTCTGGCTCTGGTGAATTCCCTCACCTCCCCCCACCCCCCCCCACTCCCGCCCCGCTCTTCTGACTGTACCCAATGCTTGTATAAATAAATTAATTCAAAAAAAAAAAAAAAAAGAAGAAATCTACTCCAGTTTATCTGTTTCCAAACTCTGCTAGATAACTCTTGGCTACTCTCATGCGCAGAGGCTGTTAGGATACTATCTTCAGATTTTAAGCAAGAGAGCTGGTTGGTCTAAGTGTGTGAGATCAAATAAATAATCCAGAACCCTAGAGGGAATGAGGAGGAAGCCTGGACAGGGGCCCCTCCAGCAGGGGGCTTTCATCTCTGGATAATTTCTTCTCGTGACTGGTAAAGCTGCTAAGCCATGGGACCAATTTTCTTATGCCTGGCTGTCAATTTGGCCTGGCCATCACTCTAAATACACGATATAATTATCCAACTTTCCAGCTGGTGTATGGCTTCTCTCCATCTCTCCTCTCACTGGCCTTCTATCCGGGAGAGCCACATTTGAGCTTGCCCTTGGGCTCCCCAGGACAGTGATTTCAAATGCTATTGACCCAAAACAACAAGAATGTTTCCATGTACAAAGATCCCTGACTCATTCCAGGGACCTTCCACACTACATTGTTCCTAAGGGAAGGAAACGCTAATTGTATAATCTAGATCATAGTCCTTGCTGCCTCCCAAAGATTATCAAACCAAAAACTATATAGGTGTGCGTTGCATTCTTGGCATCTTTCTCTAGTTCTCAGCCCAGGTGCATTTCAGATAAAATGTAGCATTAGGAAAATGAGTCAGATCCTTGTGTTCAATTGTCATTTAACTCAAACATCCTGCCCAATCCGGGGCTGATTTTTATTAAAAAGAAGAAACACTATTTTGAGGCTCACCTCACTCAAAATCCTGTTTGGAGATGAGGGTCCAGGTATTACTTCCACAGAAAATTGGTTCTAGTGATTTAATTGACTCTTCCCATGCCTTGCAAATATGATTACTAGCCTGCTGAACTTCAATAAAGAAAAGCGCTTTCTTTCTTAATAAAAAATCAAGCTTGGATGGGTGCTGACAGCTCCCTCCTACCACCCCCCGCCCCACACACACACACACACATTTCTCTCCCCCACAGCAGGGCTATGAGTTCCCGTTCTCTCACATATTTATCTCAAAATTGGGCAGGAAAAAATGTAATCGCTCTTGTCCAAATGCCTCCAAGGATTTCCAATTAGACGCAGAAATGTGGAACGGGCACTTGGACAGGCGCGCAGGCTCTGCTAGGCACCAGCACTCGCTGCACACTCGACCTCCCGGCTTCTCTACCAGCCGCCAGGGACAGGGATCAGGAAGACACTGTACGCCCAAAGCATCCTGCGCATATCACTAAAGCCATACCTGGGACACCTGTTAAACCGTTTCCCTCACCAGTAGCCCCTAAGCCTCTAGAGAATGGGGACCATGACTCATCATCATCGCACCCCAGCACCTCCCATGGCTCCTGGTAAAAGGTTTTAAGAAAACACCTTATTTGAACCAAACAGAAACCCATTCTAGTTACTGCCCTTGAGAAGGGCATATTTCAGACCGACAGGCCCTGACATGGCCCGGGCTCCTGACTGTGACCATCACAGCATCTCAGGGAACCCAGCGGACACACAGATGCTTCAGGATCCATTTGTGCTGGAGACACACCACGGGCAGTGCTCCCCGAGCCTTCTCGCTATACAGCAGGATGAGCCACCCCTACTTTTTCTTCCCAACCTCCTCAAAGTCACAGACCCCACAAGAGAGGAGGGCAAGTGGAGTAGGGGCACACTTCTGGGACTCCTGCAACCAGCCAGCTGGCAATAGTACCTGGGCTCCCTGCTGGCAGCAGACACTACCCCAGGATTCCAGCCAGCCAGCTCCCCCCCAGCACACAGACCAGACTGGTCAGACCGGTGTTTCTGGGTCCCTGCCACTAGAGGTGTGCCAACAATTGTGGGGCAGCCCCACCTGAGAATGATCCGAAGGTACTCAATGCCCTCAGCCTCCTCACACTTGATGGACAGAAGCAAGTTCCCCAGACTGCTGCCGGTACAGTAGAAGTTGAGATGATCCTAGGAACAGAAGCCAGATGTTAGCAGGCATCAGGGGACCCTCCAGATATGGCCCCCAAATCATTCCCTTCACCAGCAGTGAAAAGCCCCACAGCAAGGCAGCAGAGAAGGAGGCTACTGCTGGGGCTATTATTGAGGTGGAGGAGAGGGGAGAAGAGAAGGGGAGAGATGATCAAAGCAGTAGGCTCAACGGCCCGTCCTCAGGATGTACTGGGCACTGGACTAAGGGCTTAATACTTATTATCTCCTTCAATCTGGAGATTAAACTTTATGGGTGATATAACATCATCATCATCCCTATTTTACAGACAGGTAAACTGATGTTCAGAGAGGTGAAGTAACCGCCAGGGTCACACAACTTGTAAGTGACAGTTACAGGGTTCAAACCCATGTTTGTTCTCAGGGAAATTCGTTCTTCACCAGAAGATACCGCATCTACTTTCTTGTTTCAGAGGGGCAGACCCTGCCAACTCAGACTATTTGTGGGAATAAGGCTAGAGGAAGCCTGGCACCTCTACCCAAGGGGAGCCAGAGGTCCTTCAGACGGGTGGGCCTCTTCCTGGTCAGGGTGCCCACCTCAGACCTGCCCACCTCAGAGGAGGACCTGGAAGCTGCATTTTAACATGTTTAAGGGGACTCAGGGGAGGGTCCAGAATAGCTCCTCCTGTAAGTCGCTGCCAAGCTGCCTTAAGCTAGAGACTTACAGACTCTGCCCTTGGGGCTTCTGAAAGCTGGCAAGTCTGAAGGGCAGAATATATTTAAAGAAATGTAATTGTGTCACTTGTAAGCAATCAGAGATTCATAGCACACCATACAGTAGAAGTACCTGGGGACCCACTTGCATGAGGACATGAGAAATTTGTACAATTTAGACAGAAATGGAGACTTTCAAGGTATAAGAACAGATTTGTTTCTACCACCCTTCTTCACCTGTGCACATGACCCACCCCACTGCACCCTGGAACAATGCCAGGGGTGCACCCACAGAACCCATCACACTGGGCCTTCCTGACTCCAGCACACCTCTATGCCACCCCCACCACACACACCTCCCAGAAGAAGAGTGTGTCAACCTCCCCACTAGGACAGAGGTAGGCAGCAAGGAAGGGAGCAGGGTAGGGGAGGGGAGTTGAGGGAAAGATGCACCAAAGAGAACCCCGGGTACCCTGTGAATGTGTGACAACTGTTTTCCAGGCCTCCAGACCTCCAAGTCTTACCTTCCCTAGGAAGTGCCTGCGGTAGGCCCTGGCTTCGCCCCTGCACTCCAACTTGTAGCCGAATGTGCTAGGGCTGAGGCTGTCCTCTTCCTCCTCCTCACAGATGCTGCTGCCCAGGGAGGTCGGCGTGCCCACATTCTCCGGGTCCTCGATCCAATAGCCCCCAAATTGGGGCAGGACAATCAGGGGGTATGGGCCTCCTTTCTCCACAACCTATAGGCAGAGAGAAGGTTTTGCACACAGGCTGGCCTGGGCCTGAGGTAGGGTGGGGTCACCCGTGGTGGTACCCCTGCCAACTTCTGAACTGCTCCTGGGGGGGATCCCCTTATTTGTGGATGAATATAGTAAAATGAATCCCTCCTCCACTACATCCCACACCATCTGCACTTCACCAATCCTCTAGCCCCAGAGTACAGGGCCTGGGTCAACACCCCCAAATAAAACATGGAGAAGTTGAAGTTACAAAGGGAAAGACAGGAAGAGACCTCAGGACCTCAAGTCCTGGTCCAAGGTTCCCTCCTACATGTGGCTGAGCAGAGATCACCATCATCAATACCGTCAGCTCCCCAGTCCCACCCCAGAGACAGATCCAGAGAAGGTGACAGGGATGCCCCTACCTCATCAATGCTGGGATACGGGATATAGTCATCCTGCAAGACAAATCAGACAACACCACCTTTAATCCCGGCATGCCCTTGAGTTTGATCACTCTCCACTTTCTCACAGCTCTGGAGGGGGGTGTGCTGGGGGTCTAGAAGGCTGCATCCAGGGCTTTGGACACATCCTCAGGAAGAAGACCAGATGGAACAGCCACCTAGAGGCGGCTCTGGGATCTGGTTTCTCTTGAGCTCTTTTCCAATTAACAGAATCTAAACACACACCCTACTAGTTGAAGAGGCAGTGCACAAAGGCGCTGAATTCCCCTCCCTAGTGGCACTTAGTTCTCTAAGATGCTATAATAGGAAGATAACTTTTGATCCCACTAGTCCCTGCTCCAGGCAAAAGGACTAATCTGAGTGATGTGCTGTACCCTTGGGCCTTGGAAAAGGAACCTCATTCTCAGAGCTGTCTCCTGCTGGAGCCCAGAGCAAAGCCTGACACCCCAGAGGCTGTGTGCTGTTCATTCAAAAGAGGAGGAGCAGAGGAGCCAAGCCAAGCTGCAAGCATTAGGTCTCACCAACGACTCCACCCAGCCTGCTCTGAATCTGCCCTAAAGGCATCAAGCTGTCCACTGTGCACCAGCCAGCACCAGCAATCGCTCAGGTGGCTCTTGGTAGAAATTAGAGTGGGACAGTATAAGACAGCAGACCCCTGCTTCCCTTGCCTTTCTTGTGCTTGGCCCTTGCTGGGCCCTCATGGCTGCCACATCCCCACCCAGCCCACCTTATTCTTCTGGGGTCCTGGCTTCTGCTCTTCAAGCTTGATCCCCTGCAGAAACAAGGAAAAGAGGATGCATGGAAAAGCAAAGGTCACAAAAAAAGGAGCCCCTACAGAGGAGTCTCCTGGAGGAGGAAGAGGAAAGCAGTAGTTAATACCAGAAGTTAGTAATAACAGCAAAAGCTGATGTCCACATCACACACCTTGTCAAATTCAATCCTCACAGCAGCCCCAATGAGTAAGAACACAGACTTGAGCCAGATCACAGCAGTTCAGACCAACACTGCCTCTTACAATCTTAGGACCTCCAGCAAGTCACAGAACTTCTCCATGGTTCAATGTTCCCATCTTTTAATGGGAACAACAGGGAACTGACATGGCCGTAAAGCTTAAATGCTGGTGGTGTGTCAAGCCTTTGAAAGAGCGATTGGAATGGATTTCTTATACCAGAAAGCAGACAGCATGATCAGCCTCACACTGAAACATCTCCCCCAGGCTCTCAGACCCAACAGGTGAGGGCTAAGGATGGGGACCCGGGTCTGTGGGTGTCCATCAGCACTCTAGAATCCCCACCATACCAGCTGCACCCCTCTGCTGGGAAGGCCCATGGGTAACAGGCAGGGGACTTGCACCCAGCCCTCCCTCCACCACACCTTACTATGGGTGACCCCTAACAAAGCTGAGCCTCTCGCAGCTTCCACAGCTTCATCTGTGAGATGAGGATTCTAACGCTCACCCTCCCCAGCACAGATGTATCACCATGAGGATCAGAGATCATGACTGGGCCTGAATGAAAGGGGCCCACCCACAGGTGTCTGGAAAATTCACTTCTGGGAGCCTCGGCTTTATCTAATGTTCCTACAGTCAAATTCTGACTTAGCTTGGTTTTGTAGAAGGCATTCCCAAAATCATCTGAATAAATCAAATGAAGATGGTGGGACATACTATTAGAAACAGGTCCCCTCTGGAAAGCACAGAAGCCAGGAATAGACACAGACCTATCAGGATATAACACATTGTGATCCTAACCTTACTTAGCGCGCTCCGGTCTCCTGTCTTTTCTGAAGCCTCCAGCACCTTTTAACCAGTGAGTAAACCGAGCCCCAGGGAGGAGGCTGCTTGCCTAATGTCTCACAGCTAGTGAGTGGCAAGGCCTGAATTGGAAGCCAAGCTACCTTCCCACCAAATGTAGGACCACATCCCGTAGCCCTTGGGGCCGGGGCTCCTGCTCCCTGGGTGGATTTAGACTTAGGCTTCTCCAGACTTCTCTGGACTGAGTCACCCTCCAGCATTGTTCAGGAGGGTGTGAGAAGGCCCCTCCCACCAGACAGGTGCTCCTCTCCCCACACAGGGAAGAAACCACCTGGGTGGCCCTGCACCCGCTGCCCAGGGAAGCAAACCGGGTAGAAAGGAGAGGTGATGTCAGGAGTTTGTTTTGTTTGTCCTCCATTAGTCATCCCTACCTGGGAACAGCCCCTGGGGCAGGAGAGCCAGCCTCCTTCCATCCCCTCCCCAGGACAGTGCCACCACCCAGCACAACCCTCCTCTGCCATCCTTTGCAATAGGTATTAGTATTACTAGCCTCCTTGCTGCCACTGGAGGCTCAGAGAGGCAGAGCAGCTTGGAAAGGATACTCAGTTAGGGAATGGCAGGATTAGGACTTGAACCCAGGACCGAAGGGACCCAGGCTTATGCTTTTTGCCCCTGTGGCTTCTCAGAAATTGTGTCTTTTGAATCCCCAGGCTCTCAGGCTGGAGGTCAGGTGTCCTGGATCTTAGTTCCAGAGCACCCGGACACTTTACTGCTCTAAGGCTCAGTCTCCACACTGCGGCACGTGGAGAAATGCCACCCACGCTCAAGGACAAAATCTGGCCACCCCCATGCAGCCCACTTCATCCTCGCCAGTTCCCCATATGTGCGCTTCATACACAGAGTTGAAAACTGGGCTGCTGAGAATCTGGGACCAGCAGGCACGTGGTGGGGACATAAACATTGGGACATGTGGTTTTATCTCCCAACAGTCTCAGTTAAGATGGAATCAACAAACCACCCATGGGTATCAGAAGACACAGAGGGGGCACGGAAATAAGATCTGTCATCCAGAGGCCCCAGTCGAGCCCAGCAGCCTCCAAACAACAGAACGATAGGAAGTTGGTTAACTGGGGCTGAATTATGTGCTGGGAGAAGCCCTATGTGAAGATAGGGGATTCCAGCCACCAGCTATGGTGGCTTATGGGATCAACCAGAGGCAGGGTAGACACGGGCAAGTGGCAAATCCCCTGCCAGCATCCATGGGCTGCAGGGGAAAATCCCAGCTTTCCTCCTGGCGACAGAGCACTAATTACACACTGCCTCCTACCACTCGCTGTCAAGGCACGTGCCATCTGTGTTTCCACAGCTTGACTGGAAATCCCCCAAATGCATGTGACATTCATAGCCCACAGTACTGGGCACAGAGGATGTTTGTGATAATGACACGACCTCTAATGACATTCTTCCTCAGGCCCTCTCCTTCCACGGGCTGACACAAGGGAGACCAGGTTGTCCGGATCAGGACCACGCCTGATGCAGCAGCCCTCCCAGCAATTCCACCTGCATCTCAGGGCTGCAGTGGGCAATGTCTTTGCCTCTCCTCCTAGAGCTTCCAGAGCATTACTAAGAAGCCTCCCTGCTTGAGCCTGCAGTATCCATTTAGAGTAAAAAGCATCATAACAGGGCAGCTAACCCTTCGGGCGCTGGAGCTACTTGCTAATCATGAGGCCCTGAGAGCTTTACTTAATCTCTGTGCCTCAGTTTACTCAGCTATGAAATGGAAATGATAATTATTATCATCATCATTCCACTTTCTGTAAGAATTGTCAGGAAGAAATGAGATAACATCTGTCAATCTCTGAGTCCAGCAAAGTACTTAAAATATCTGCCCTATTATTAGCATCTTCTTCCCATTCTTTTCACCTTTATCAATAATCCTCTGGATCTCTCCCCATATTCCTTAGGCCAGCAGCTCTTACCAGTGAGCTCTGACCCAGGGGGTGAGGAATAATTATAAAGAATCCCCAAATCCACTTTCAACACTGGTTTTCATACCAGTGCCTACCAAGTATTTACATATGTTATTTTATCCCACCAGCCATGTGAGTGGGTATTTTTATTCTGATTTATTTATAGAGCTTGTGATATTCTGATGTACAATAAGAAATATAGATTTGGTCTTCATATGGTTCCTGGCAGGAGCTCCTAGAATCTTTGGAATTTCCTAAGGGAAGGTAATGTGAGCATTCAGGAACATCTTTTGTTGGTGTATTTGTCCTTCTGAAACAGCTCCAGAAACATAAAGGTGAAGGCAGTGTTTTGTTATTCATATATTTATGTTAATGAGTTTATGTTAATAAGGTGGCTTCTGGAAGGCCCCTGAGGAAGGGGGAGCTGGTTGCCAGGGGAACCAACAAGGAAAAGAGGGTTGGAATTGCAGTCCCACCTCCCAACCTCCAGGGAGAGGAGAGGGGCTGGAGGTTGGGGAACAGCCAATGGTTTAATCAATCACGCCTATGTACTAAAGTCTCCAAAAATCAAAAAAACGGGGTCCAAATCTGTACTTCTGAAGAGTGGTGTTCAGAATGCATGGAGACTCGGGGCCCCTTCCCCACTTCTCAACCCAGGCATCTCTTCCATCCGCTGTTTCTAAATTAAATCCTTTTATAATAAATTGGTAATCACGTAAGTACATCTTTTCCCGAGTTCTGTGAGCCACTCTAGCAAATTAACTGCACCCAAGGAGGGGATCATGGGAACCTCCAATATATACCAGGCAGTCAGAAGCACAGCTGTGGTTTCACAACTGAAGAAGGAAGAAGGGGAGACCAGTCCTAGGAGACAGAACCCTTAACCTGTGGGGTCTGGTGCTAGCTCCAAGAAGACCTTGTCAAATGGAATTGAGTTGTAGGACCCCCTACTGGTGTCACAGACTGGTTTGGCAGGGAAAAATCTATCACTCATTTGATGTTAGAGTGAGGTGACAGAAGTGCTGTGAGTGGACAGAAAATGGGAGCGGCAGGCTTAGAAAAGGAAAGGAGCTGGCTGGGACCAGTGAGATCTATTGCTACAACTCAACTTAGAAATCCAGCAGATTCAAGATTTGAACTCAGGTTTGTATTCCAACTGCAGCTCTACCTCCCCCACACAAGATGACTCCCCTAAGGAAGGGCTTTCCCTCTAACCTTGTTCCAGGAACAATGGACCCTCTCAAGCCCTCCCCACAACAGAGGGTTTATAGCCTCCCCTCTATGGGCTGGGGGCCTCTGTTTTTAATCTCCTGCCCACAGGCAGGAACCTCCCCAGAACCCTTCCTGCTGCTCAATGTGGAAATGGCTTCATGTTGTGGGGTTATTGAACTGTGAATTCTTCCTTCTCTGGCCTGCCCCTCAAAGTCCCCAAGATCTCCCCATGGGTTCTGCCTGGTGTGTGTCCCCCAAGGTTACAGCTAGAGATGCACACACACCCCACTCAGTTCCCCCAATTTGAGGGTACTCACCTGCATTTTCTCCAACATCTCGAAGAACTCCGCCGACTGAAAGACATAAGAGGGTAGGGAGAGAAAGATGGGGGTTCAGGCAAGAGGTCTGCTGAGAAACCACACCCACTGTCTGGAAGCTTAGCCCAGGTCTCCCTGGGGACAAAATTTATTTGGATCAAGAAAGAAGATAATTTGATTTTGCCCTTGCAGAGCTGGAGGGCCAGAACACCCCACACAACCAAAGAAAAACCAAGACACGCCTCTGCTGGCAAATGGCCCTGGGGAGAACAGCCATTCAGCTTCTGCAAAGGGAGAGGGGTCTGGGTGGCCCCTGGGAAAATCCAAGTTCCCCAAAAGCCTGTAAGCCCTGGGATTCGGCCTCCAGCAGGATTCATGTTTAAGATGGCCAAAATGTTCAACACAAGTAGTTTTCCAACTTTCAAGGCAACACAGCTCTTCTGTCTCCTCCTATAGAACCCCAAAATTTAAAACTCGAAGACATAAACCAGCAAAAGCAGTTGTGGGGGGCTGAGCCCCTGAGGCCTCTGCCTGTCCCTAAGGCACCACTTTGGGAACCTCCGCTTGTGAGTCTGTAAGCCACTGAATTGCAGCGTCCAGAGGCATCAATAGATTTTTTTAAACCTCAAACACATAAAATCCAATGTTTTATCCTACTTTATTGCTACCTTTGTAAACTTCAGGAGAGACAGAAAGGAGGAAAAGGAAGCAGATTAGAGGGTGTAAAGGGATGAAAACTTTACCCCAACAAAACCCATACAGAGGTAGGCCGCTCAGAGGTTTCCCCACGCCCCATTCCATGACAACAATTACACTTTCCTATTGTCACCTCACTGCCCATATCGTATCTGGGGACTGGTGAGCCGTGAGTTAATGAGCACCAAAGCTGCCCCAGATGAATAGGAGACAAAACCAGGCAGTGACAAGGGGCCACTTCTTCCCTCACAGATAGAACTCTCTCCCTTCCTCTGCAAGGAACAACAGGTCAGAACTGCCTGGAGCCTGCCTCACTGCTCTCAGAGATCACAGAAGAGAAGGCCCAGGGGAAGGGCCCAGATAAAGTCACAAGGAGAAACACGACATAATCTGGCCACAGATGCCAAATGACCGCGCACAGGATGAAGCTGGCCTTCAGAGGCAAAGAGTCTCTGACCCACCAGCAGTGCAGATTCCAAGGTCTGAAAACCCCACATGTGAATGTGCAGAATTAAGGACAAGCTCTGGCCATCCACAAGGAGCGCCCGCTCCCAACCTCTTCTTCCCACTGCCTCTGTGCTTTCTCACCAACTCCAGTCTCCAGGAGAACAACATTACTAGACATAAAGAACTTATACAAATCAATAAAACTAGAAAAATGAGTAGAAAGAGGACAAGGAAGCAGAAACAATCATCATTTTCAACGCAAAGACTTCTGACTCAGCAATTCCTCTTCTAGGGAACTACACTATAAATAGCCTTACACATGTACATAAAAATAGATACAATAAAATGTTCACTGCAACACTGTTTATAACAGTAAAGAAAGAAAATAACTTAAATGTCAAGTTATAGAAAATTGGAGTAAGCTACATTCATAGAATAAAACACAAGTAACATGAATGACTGTGTCAATAAAATAGATACATAAGAGGAAATGGACAATTATTAGAAATACACAAGCTATCAAAACCGACTCTGGAAGAAATAGAAAATCTAAAAAGACCTATAGTAAGTAGAAGTTGAATAAGTAATCAAAAAAATTACCCAAAAAGATAAATCCTAGGCTGAGATGGCTTCATCTGTGAATTCTACTAAGTATTTAAAAAAGAAGTAATACTAACTCCTCACAAACTCTTCCAAAATAAGAGGGTATACTTCCCAACTTATTCTACAAGGCTAGTACCACACTGATACCAAAAGCAAAGACATAACAAAAAATTAAAAAATAATAAAACTATAGGTCAATATTATTTATGAATATAGATGCACAAATTCACAACAAAACACTAGCAAACTGAATCCAGTCACATGTCAAAAGAATTATAAATCATGACCAGGTGGGGTTCATTCCAGGAATGTAAGAATTATTTAATACTTGAAAGTCAATAAAATAATACACGACATGAACAGAACAAAAAACAAAAACTGCAGTGGCTTCTCAATAGACATATTTAGATAAAGCATTTGACAAAATCCAAAACCCTTTCTTGATTAAAAAAAAAAAAACATGCACTCCAGTAGATCTGCCTGTTCTCTTCCCCCACTCTGTCTCTGGTGAATCTTCTCACCCCCCACACCTCTGGCCTGCACCCCAGTTCTTGTATGCATAAATAAATAAATAAATTAATTAATTAATTAATTAATCTTTTTTAAAAAAAGGCAGGTGCGTGGGTTACCAGGTGTTCTCTGGTGAGAAGTTGACATAAGATACATAAGATATTAGACTCTTTTCTGGATGTACTTATGGAGATATTTTTACGACATGGCTTACTCCACCATGTCTTCCACCTTCATTATTTTTTAAAAAGATATCAACTTTGGAGTACTTCCAAGAAAAGTTAATCTTAATTTGCACATAGTCTAAATTGTCATACCTTCCTCCTACCTGTTTTATCACACTAGATAGTTAAATCTTGCTTAATGTACTGAAAGCAACATGAAAAGGTGCTCTCTAAATAACATGTTGTGCCTCGGAGTGAAATGTTCATGAACATATCTTGGCTCCATATCTTGGCCTTGTCGAGCTCTTGAAGGTTCACCAAGAGGCTTGTCTCAGTGGCAGTCCCTGGATCCAGGAGCTTTCATTCTTGCATTAGCTAAGGGTTTGATGGCAGTAACTTTAAGGCTTAGAGGACAGGAGAATTTGCTGTTCCTTGAGAAAGTGCTGCAGAGCAAGTGATAGCAGAACTAGCAGCAAGCAGACTCTGCTAATGGGGGCAACCTAATTTTGAGCTGGCATTGAGGTGGGTGCTGATATATTATGAGCTAGACACAGATCTGTTCCCAGGGGCATCTTGCCCAGGGTGCTAAGGTAACAAACTAGTGTGTGGAGAAAGTTGCTTTTGCAGCTTTGAAGGGCCAGATTGTAATTAACTGAAAAACCTGTCTGGATTTCAAGCTTGTTTCATTTTCAACAATAAGCTGTATTGGAGTCAGAGAGCTGGAATTCAAATCTAAATTCTCTACTTACTCTCTTCCTGAATCTCAGTTTCTGTCTGTGCCTGCTATGAAGATCAAATGGTAAAAGATCAACCTCTAGGATGGTGGTTCACAGTTGGCTCTAGAGAAGGTGTGCTGCATCTGAATTTTGACAGCATCTCTCTTTCCATAAATGTGCCCTGGCGAGCTGTGCACCCATTTCCTACTCCCTGAAAATCTCTAGTAAATTAACCAAAGTCCCAAACTTGGTTTTTCCCCTTCTAAGAAAGCAATTGATGTATATTGCTTACATAAAACAATCTCCAAGATATATTAAGCATGGGGAGAGCAAAATAAAGATCAGCACACAGAATATGATCTCATTTTTATTTTGTATACACACCTATAGGAGTGTATATGAATGCATAGAAATATGGACGCAGATACCTCAACAAAATCTAAAAGTGATTTTAACAAAATGGGGGGATGAGAGTAGTGACAGGGGTTTTGCTTCACATACAGCCTACTTCACAAGCATGTTACTTCACAAATGAGTAACCTACATTACCTGTAAAATTAAATTTCAGATAAATAAGTTTTGTAAGGGAAACAGAAAAACCTGCAAAGTACATGAGCAAATAATTTTCTAAAGGTGGAATATAAAATGACCAATAAACATTCAGAACATGCCCAACCTCCTTAGTTATTCAAGAAAATTGAGATAGTAAGTTATCTTTCCTATATCAGATTGGCCAAGAACAAAAAGAAAATCCAATGTTGGCAAAGATAAGGAGTTCAGGATTCAGGGACTATGGTAAGTGTGCAGCTGGTACACTTGAAGGACGATTTGAAACTATATGTCCAAAGCCTTAAAAATGTTCACAGATTTTGGTCCAATAAACCACTAGTGGGAATTTCCTCTAAAGCACTTATTTGGGAAACTACACAATACAATGAAACAAGGATATTCATGACAACATTGTTTATATGCAAAAAAGTATAAACAGGCAAAGTACCCACAAGGAGAGAAAGATGAAATAATGTATGGGAGTGTACCTACACAATTATATACTCTAGAGGAGATTTGTGTTGAGTAAGCTAGCATAAAGATTCACAATGCATTGCTAAGTAAGAAAAAAAGAATTTAAAACAAGATGGTGCCACTTTTTAGTTAAATTTTAAAAACCTATTTGATGATGTGTGTATGTGTGTGTGCACACGCATATGAATACACACATTACCTAACCAGAGAAAAACACATTGAAGGATACATACCAAAATGATTTAGAGGTTATGAATAATTTTTTTCCTTTTTGTTTTTCAATTTTTTAATGTTCTACAATTATAAATTTTTTTAATTATCAAAGATCAATTTTGTAATTGATCACTGTTCTTAAGGCTTCAACACCTAAGTGAAGACTCTGACATGCCTTTCTTTGCTTCCCTCAACCACTGCTACAGGCCCTTCTTCCTTCATAACAGGACGTTCAGGAACACGAGGCTACAGCCTTCAGTGCCCACAGAAAGCCCCTGGATTCAGGCCAATTAATTTTTAGATCTAATCTTGACTCTCTGGATTATAGACTACAAGGCTCTCCTGAATGACTCCCAAATTCAGCTCACTCTCTGTTATCTATACAAACTGACAATCAAAAAATACTAACATGTATTCTTAAACAATGCCCCTGTATGGTTAACCCCAACTGAATAAGACCTGCAAGACTTGGACTGGGTGCTGGAAGTAGTAGGCAAGGGCCTGTTGCCAGGGTACTTGATCTTAATTATGAGACAAAGCTGTCCAGGGTTAAGTTTCAGATGACTGCTGTCACCATGGCTTAGAAAAGACATGAAGCCCTTCTTGCTGGGAGGTCAAGTGTATGTGTTCTCTATTGGCTGTGTAACAAATTACTCCAAAACTT